GTCGCCATCAAAGACAAACAGGAAGGCATAGAGTGACCCCGCCCCATCATGATGTCACTTCCAGTTACCTGTCCTCTGTTTGTCTTCTGTTTTAAATAAAGCCTGTTATGCCGTATCCTGATGAGTGTGTGTGACATACCTGCAGCTCAGGCGCTGGCTGCTGGTTGAAGTTTAAAGTGCTGGTCAACATTTTCCTGTGTTTGCTTTAACAGATCATTACACTGAACTGTTTGCAAACAATAACAGAAAGAAGAAATACTCTGATCAAAAACAGCTTTTCCTTCATCTACAGCACAAACCTGCTGTGACCTGATTAGCTCAAAGCTACAGTTCAGTTTCTTTCATATATTTACTTAGGAGAATGAAGACAGGTTAATTGTATTTCAGTAAGTGCAAGTACTGTGTTGTTTTCTTTTTTCAATAAAAATATTTGCAAAAAAAAAAAGCTCCGGTTCATACTGAGTTTACCAGTTTATAATTTATGTTTGTGTTCGAGTTATGAAAATGATTAAATATGTTTTCATAGAAAAAGTCCAACTCTTCCCACTCGGGTTTTATTTATTTACTTTTTAGGTCAATTGTGTTTATACTTTATGTCAAAATGAAAAGAATAACTATAAAGTGAAACATGAGGTTGTGCTGAAAAGATTGATAGCAAGGAAAAACAGTCAAGGTGAAATCAAAGCAGTTATTCATGCGACGCAGAGGGTTATGAATATAATCCACCCACTTCAACGCCCTGTACCAACACAGAGCAGCTACCTGAACGCTGCTCCAACAGAGGTCGATCATCCTGTTAATAATTTCACCTCCTCACTACGTACGACTCTGGATACTGTAGCTCCAGTGAAAACTAAGGTCTAATCAGACGTACCTGACTCCGTGGTATAATTCTCAAACACGTAGCCTAAAGCAGATGACTCGTAATCTGGAGAGGAAATGGCGTGTCACAAATTTAGAGGATTCAGTTTTGTTTATGTAGCACCAAATCACAACAGTCGCCTCAAGGCAATATTGTAGAGACCCTGCAGAGAAAAACCCAACAATCATATGACCCCCTATGAGCAGTACTTTGGCGACAGTGGGAAGGAAAAACTCCCTTTTAACAGGAAGAAACCTCTGGCAGAACCAGGCTCAGGGAGGGGCGGGGCATCTCTGTGATTGGTTGGGGTGAGAGAAGGAAGACAGGAA